TCCAACAAAAATTAGCATGTATCAAGATTACAATCAATGCTCTAGCGGAGTATGAGTATTAGTTAGTTGTCTTGTCAGTTGTAGAAAGAAACACATTGGTGTATTTATATCACGACCATGCATAAAGTATCTTTAATAAGGTGATCACCAGTATTATAAAACTGACCATAATTTAAATACTTACTAAAGGAAAAGTGATTATTGGATGTGATAATTAAAAATTAGGTCATCCGGGGTTTAATAAATTCCCGTTATGAAAACCTGAAGTTTCATTTAATATGAAAGAAATAATGTGCTGACGCTGTCTCATGTTAAATATATGAAATAAATTGAATGGCAAGACATAACATTGAGATTGAGCTATATTTAGATTGTGATTTTTAATAGTTTGTGTAAAAAGAAAAGTTCAAGAGATAATATATTGGTTTTTCTGAATAATTGGTGACCAGAAGTTCACTAGAATAATTTTTATGTTGACAAATATAAAGTGACCAAAAGCTCACCACGTACAAGTTATATGTGAAAATTTTAAGTAACTAGTATTATTATCAATGTTTCTAGTGATCCCGAAGATCACCACCTAGTGAAATTACAAGAAAGTTTATATTTGTATAACAATTCTCTTGATTGGGTCTATTGTATGTCAACACTAAGGAATAGAATAAGAAATTAACAGCTGCACAATTTATTACCCTATTAATATTGATCTCTAGAAGAGAACAAAATTCCATTATTCTACAAAAGAGATAGAACTTTGTTTGTTGAATATATATGATTATCCTACGAGATAAAATTTGATGCACATGAAATTATATTCTAAATTGGTGAAGAATTGCCCCAACATTTGAGATATTTTACCAAATTAGGGGGAAGAATTGAAGTAAGTTGGCAAAATTATAATACTATAAATAGTTGATCCCTCTGATGATACTTTGTAAAGTTACATGCCAACTTTTGTATCAACATATGTTGCACATCTATGATTTGATTTGTATACCGTTATGACCTATCTAAAGGAATAGTGAGGTATATTTTGATTATGGTGATAATGATATTGTGTGCATACATTAAGATAGATCTTGCCTATTTACTTTAAATCACTGCACCTGAAGTGTAGTTTGTATGATCGGTTCCAACAATATAAATATGCGATATACGGCAAGATAGTGCAGTTTATATTTTAAATTATAATAATAGTATATTAATACCATAATGTGAGAAATACCCTTAATATGTGGTATAGATATCTGAATTATTATAAAAGATGGCCTATTATGTAAGAAAAGTTATGATGGTACCAATGAGAAATGCATTCAGATATCATAGTAAAATAGTATGCGAAATATACGTTATAGGAATTTTATGATACCGGTACACAATGGTACCGATGAATAATATGCATATGCATGATAGAATGGACGAGTGAAAAAGGGATCTGAAATATATGTCCATTTTATTGTCGACATAATGATCAAAAATTTATTATGGACCAGAAGTCCAATGAAATATGGATTTTTAAATCCACACTGTACAGTGTCTTGCATCATTTTGAGTCTTATCTTCATGTGCATGTGTGAGTCATAAGTTAATGGATATTTATTGCATATATAGGAAGTTGTTAGATGCATTACTCATTGTATATTTGTTAATATGTTATCATATTTTCTATATCTCATATTGCATGCATTAATTTCTTACAATAACTGTGGTGTATGTAAATGTTCATTCAAAGTATAGTAAGATATGTTTACAACTTTGATGAAAAATTAAAAAGAGATTAATATTCCAATGGGCTTATAATTGTGATGAAATTATTGATGACACAGATTTAATTGCACATTATGAATTAAGAAGAGTTCCTGAAGAACTTATATACAACCTATTGTAATATCCAGCCCTACAAAGTTTATATCTTGAATGTGCAATTATTATCAAACTCTTGAAAATCTATGTACGTGACAACATTATTAACATCTCAACCTGAAGTTTGAGCATATGAGAATTAATGAGATTTACTATTTGTATTTGCAAGAGAGCTATCGTGTCAATTATGAAACGTCTAAAGAATATCAATGGATCACTTATGCGTGACAATGTTTTCTTATGGTCCAGAAGAACCATGAGTAGCGTATATAATTACGTGTGTTATATTATGATATACGCTAATCATGGTCCAGAAGAACCATGGTCCAGAAGAACCATGATTAGCGTATATAATTTATATGAGAAGAATGATATAATAATATGAAGTTTTGTCATCAAATTATTACTCGTATTAATGAATGTTTGATCAAATAATGATCATCAATATTTATTATCAACGATTTCCAGAAGAAGTCATAACAGTACAAGTTTATCCTTTGAATCATTTATTAAACAGATATTTGAAATAATGATATTAGAAATAAACACATGTATGGTGAAATGAAGACACTTCACATGTTTATGTGAAGACTTGAAGATGCAATTTCAGTTTAGGAGTATCGAAGATCAACGAGTGATATTATATTACATATGAGAAGATATTTAACATATTGGATTCATTGCTGCGACACTAGAAGATCTCAAGCTATGTATTCATCAGGGGGAGAAAATACGCGTTGCACTCTTTTTCCCTTGAACATGGTTTTGTCCCACATTGGGTTTTCCTGGTAAGTTTTTTAACGAGGCAGCATCTTGAGCGTATTACGAAGAATGTTGTACTCTTTTTCCTTCATTAGGTTTTTATCCATAGGGTTTTTCCTAATAAGGTTTTAACGAGGCACAGTCTTCGATAATGGACATCTAAGGGGGAGTGTTATGAAATATTGTATAGATATCCATTATCCTCCTTTATCATTTCGGAATGTTCTAGAACTAGGGTTTATTATTATCTAAGCAAACCCTAGTTATATTGTATGTATATATATATCCCCACTCTATGGAATAAAATAGACTGATCTATTCTTTCCCTAATTTCTTCTCTTTCTCTTTAATTTTATAACAAGAATGATGTTATAAGGGAAATTCGAACCCTGATCTAGGTAAACCTGAAATTGGGCCCCTTGACATATTGTTTATAGCCCACTACCAACTTAGGTAAGGCAAACTTCTTGTTTATTCTTACACTCAATTTTATATAACTATTTTCCCAGTTTTATTTTTTTTCCTAAATTTTTTTTCGAAAGTGGGGGGACAATGGTCCCCCCTTGTTCCTTCATGGGTCCGCCCATGGTTGTCATATAACATACTGAGCGTTCCTTAGTAAAATTCATTTATGAAATGGTATAAATAATTTGAAATTGTGTATCAACCGTACTAAAAAAAAAAAAAAAAAAAAACTTATATTTTTCCTTGTATATAATACTTCAGATATACAATTAAGGTCAAACCTTTTCTTTTTCAACTTGAAAATTACAAACAGAACATACATTGTAAAGGAACAACTTCAGAAACTACTTCTCCTATTATCATTTTGTTTTAAAATGAAATCTATTTTTAACTTGTGAAGTGGACCCTCTCTCTTAACTGCAGATGCGGCCCAATTCCTAATTTATCATGGTATTAGAGCCAGGCCTTGTGATGAGAGGGAGTAAATAAGCACTCTAGTTCGAAAATTACATGAGACAAAATTTAAAAAAAGGACCTTACATGTGAACGAAGATAGTATAATCTTAGAAGACATTGCAACAAATAAATTAGGGTGTTGAGCCCATGAACAATCCACATGTGAGCATTCTCTTGTCCCACACTAAAAAAACACTAAACACTAAAAGGGGAGTGTAGTGGTAATGAAATCCCACATTAAAAGAATTCAAGAGTTACCACCACAATATAAGGCCAAAGGGTTACTCCCCCCATTGCCATATGGTTTTGAGGTGGAACCTCCTTGTTCTTGTAAAGTGGTAGACTTACATTCTCCCGTGACGGGTGCGGCCCAAACCCGTATTTAACATGGTATCAGAGCCAGGCCCACGATCTCACGATTGGAGCCTTAATGGCTAAGGTATACTGGGCCAAACACTATGGACAGCTCACATGTGAGGGGGAGTGTTGAGCCCATGAACAATCCACATGTGAGCATTCTCTTGTCCCATACTAAAAAAACACTAAACACTAAAAGGGGAGTGTAGTGGTAATGAAATCCCACATTGAAAGAAATCAAGAGTTACCACCACAATATAAGGCCAAGGGGTTACTCCCCTCATTGCCATATGGTTTTGAGATGGAACCTCCTTGGTCTTGTAAAGTGGTAGACTTACACTCTCCCCTGACGGGTGCGGCCTAGACCCGTATTTACCTCCTTGGTCTTGTAAAGTGGTAGACTTACACTCTCCCCTGACGAGTGCGACCCAGACCCGTATTTAACAGTATGCCCACTTTCTAAGAATATTGATGTAATGGGATGATGTTGATCAGGCTTTATCTATACTCCCTCGAATCCCTACCTTTGTCCCTTAAACATTGATTATACATATCCCAATTTTCAATTTATAAACACTTGGACAATAACATGAGTTGACAAAGTTCTGTATGAAATTAAAGAAAGAGGCGCTTTAAAAATGGTCTTCAAAAAAAAAAATCTTCGCTTTAAAAAAGATCGAGGGAGTAATTACTCTCTCTATTTAATTATTTTTGTCTCATCTTAATAAATTATTAGGAGTGTAATTAGTCCAGAATATTTAATTTGAGATGAGAGAAGTTTTGATCACGCTCATTCATCGGGTCGAAAAGGAAATACTAACTCATCATGCATGTGAATTCTTGCAAATTTCTCACGATGTTTATATTATCATAAAAACTATCGATGCATCAAAGGAAGTAGTAGACAACGAGGTCCAGAAACAATTAGTGTAGCCGTGTAGGTAGGGTAAGGAGCCGAGGAACTACTACTAGCCAACGGAACAACTATCAAAGTATTACTCAATTGTCTCAATATATTTTACAACTACAAGATACCAAAAAAATCTAAGTACAAAACAATCAAATTTAGAAAAATAGGTATGAAAAATCAATCTAAATGAACAAGTAAAAACATATTGTCAAATTTATGAAATTGCAACCAATTTGCAAAAGAACCCAAAATATAAAATACAAGAGGTTTATGAAAAATAAATCACAACTAAACCTAATTAAAAGAATCATCATCATTATACAAAGCAACAACATAAAAATAAGTAAAGTATTATTCTATAAACGACTAGCCAATGATGTACTAGTAGAAATACTAGTTTCATCTTTACTCAAATCGTTAGCCATTTTCCTAAGTAAATACTTTTGAATTTTCCCTGTTGAAGTCTTAGGAAGATCTTCCATAAACACAACATTTTTAGGCACCATGTAATGTGCCATTTTTGACCTACAATACTCAACAACATCTCTTTCCGTTGGTTTTTCTTTCAACCCTTTCCTCAAGCTAACGAACGCACACGGTGTCTCACCCCAATACTCGTCCGGTTTAGCCACCACGGCCGCCTCGTTGATCACGGGGAAAGTATACAACACGTTCTCAACCTCGACGCTACTAATATTTTCACCACCACTTATGATAATATCTTTAGAACGGTCTTTTATTTCTAAGTACCCGTCTTTATGCATTACACCTAAATCACCTGTTCTAAACCAACCATCATTTCTCATGCATTTAGAAGTACCTTCAGGGTCTTTAAGATACCCTAACATAATGGACCCACCTCGAAAGACGATCTCTCCAACGGTCTTCCCGTCTCGCTTGACAGGTTGTCCTGTGTATGGATTTATTATATCTATCCGAGTCATTCCGATGGTCCGGACTCCCTGACGAGCCCTAAGTCGGGCCCGTTCAAGGGCGGGGAGACGGTTCCACTGTGCTTTCCAAGCGCATGAAACGATCACCCCGCCTGTCTCGGTGAGTCCGTACCCATGACCTACAACAAACCCGAGTGACTCCGCTCTAAGGAGGATTGGCGCGGGTGGGGGTGACCCGCCCGTTAGGACATGAACGGGCCAGGAAAGCGGGCCCGGGTCGGAGGTAAGGGTGGTTAGCATGTTGAGGACAATTGGTGCCGCGCACATGTGGGTGACTTGGTGGGCCCGGATAGCGGCGTGAATGGTTGCGCCGTCGAATTTTTTCAGACAAATATTAGTACCACCAACTGCCGCCATACCCCAAGTAAATCCCCACCCATTGGAGTGGAACATTGGTAGGGTCCACAAGTAGACGGGCTGCTTCGGAACTGACCAATCAACGAGCGAGTCCATCATAGTGATGAACGAGCCACGGTGGCAATGTACTACACCCTTTGGGGACGACGTCGTTCCGGAGGTGTAGTTTAACACCATCGGGTCCCACTCGCTTTCGGGTTGGATCCAGTTAAAACCCGGATCACCATTCTTAACCATAAGTTCGTATGTCGTTTGAAACTCTTTACTTGGGTGGCAGATATTATCACCAAGCTTAGCTTTGAGGGTTTCGTCTCTAAGCGTGACGGGGTCGTAGTCGTATTCGTTATCTGTAACGAGTACTAAAATAGGACGTGGGTGCTCGGCAGGGAGTAATGATATAGCCTCCAAGACAAGGGACTGAAGTTGATAATACACGAACACAAGTTTTGACTCGCTGTGACGTAGTAGGACGGAGATTGTCCTAGGATCAAGACGAGTATTAATATTGTTAAGCACGGCCCCTGCCATAGGGGCCGCAAAATGTAGCTCATAGGCTGCAGGTACGTTAGGGGCGACGACTGACACGACGTCGCCCCGCATGATACCTAGAGAAGTAATAGAAGAAGCTATCTGAAGGCATCGCTGGTTGGTGTCAGCCCACGTGTACGTGGTAGCCTTGTATACGAGGGACGGCGAGTCGCCGTACACAATGGCGGCTCGCTCTAAGAGTGTTAATGGGGTGAGTGGGATAGAATTAGCTCGTTTTGGTTTAAGCTGGTCCATGATGACCTTAGCTTAAGGTAGTTTTTTTTTGTAGCTATTTTGGTTATTTGGTAAAGAGGGGTAGTAAGATAGTTAGATAGGAGGACTGACACAAATGATAAGTGCATACTTATAAGGAATTTATATATAGCAAGCTGTCAAATGGCAAGAAGCTGTAACAAGTCATTTAAAAAATCAAAACAACAAAAAAAAAAAATACAAAAATTTATAAGTTACAACCAAGAGCTACCGCCTACCTGGAGTAATGTGAGGCAAAAAGCAGGTGAAGAGTGTAGACCATAAAAATAAATAAATTTCAACAATTAAAAATAAATAAATAAATAAAAAGAAAAGGAAAAACGAAAAAAGAAAAAAATAAAAAGGAAAAAGGGGGTACAGTTAGGCATAAAATGGCCAGAAATGGAGTAGTTTGGAAGTTGGGAAGGTTATTGGTGCGCCAATATGTTCGTATAATAAATGTCATAAATGTGTACATTGTTGTGTTTAGGTTAAGATTGATATTTAATTATTTATGCATATTAAATTGAAACTATATCCCATATATAGCTAGAAATTGTGTTATGGTTTAGAGGATGGAAAATATATAAGAAGGTTCCAAGAGAAAAATATATACAAATATGTTTTACAAAAAAATTAAGTTTGAAGGTAATAAAGAATATGGGTGAAAGGTTTATAGAGATTGTTTGGTTGGAAGGAGAGAGTCTGTCACGCAAAAGTTGTTGTTCAAATTTTCTTTATTTAGCAATTGAATGATATACAACATTTTTCATGGGTAAGGATAACAATTTTTATTACAAAGGTTGTCAGTTGTCACATATTCTTCCTTAATTCTTTCTCTCATCCTGTTTGTTATTAGATGGTCTTCAATTCTAATTTTTTTTTTCTTTTTTTGTCCGTAAATTGTATTTGTAGGCATTAAGTAAAAGAAAATGTACCATCAAAATTATCTTATACAGTATTTTTACCACATTGTAATGAGTATTAAGTGTAACAAAAATTAATAAAATTGCATTTTTTAAGGTAAGGTATAGAGAAAGAGATTAGGAACGTCTTCACACATGACCGTGCCCTAATCTATCTTGTAGCAAAAAATAAGAAAACTTGCTATCCATGAATGGATCAATATCTTGGTGGATCAAAGTAGATTAACCCAAAGAGGCCATATAATTTGCTGATGTGTTTCCTTCACCAAAGATGTGCTAAGAATTGAAGGTTGAAAAGAAATTCAAAATAGTCTTGATGTTTTCCATTAGGAGCTGAAGCTTCCAAGGGCAATTAAAACAATCCTTCAAATATTAATAACAATCAAATTAACTCCTCCTATAAAAATATGAGAAATATTGTAATCTTTTCCTAGGAGAAGTTAAAAAGACCATTATGAAGGGCGATTGCCTCAGCAAGATAAGTTGAGCATCAACCCAAGTTATAAGTTTCAATGGAAATATGATTATTGAGGGAGTACCTAATAATAACATCCATCCCACGGGGCCAGAGTTACACCGGCTCTATGTAAGGAAGATTGGCACGATTGCATGAGCATGTCATACCGAGTAATTTATTTATATTTAGTATTTAAAAACTCAAATAAAAAAACACACATGTCATCATTCTATTACACTTGTCCATCTTCACTTTTTTCAACCAAAAAAGCCATGTGTCTAAACTTCCCTATCTTCTTAACTCATTCATTATGCTTCCTAAACTTTTCATATTTTCTTAAAATAAATACAGTATTTATATCTATACTTAGGGCCTGTTCTCATTGACTGAACTGAGCTGAACTGAATTGAACTGAACTGAACTGAAATGAACTGAATTGAGCTGAACTGAACTGAACTGAACTGAGCTGAACTGAACTGAAATGAATATTTTATAAGAGAAGAAAATTAGGAGATGAGCTGAACTGAACTAAACTGAACTGAACTGAACTGAACTGAGCTGAGCTGAACTGAACTGAACTGAACTACTGAACTGAATTTCAATATAAGAGAATAGGCCCTTAGTATTTAAAAACTATAACCAAGGAAAACACATGTCTCCATCCTATTACACTTCAATATCTTTTTCTCTAATCCAAATTAGAGGTGATCGTTTGCGGGCTTGGACGGGAAACGGGCCGGGCCTATACTTCATTTTTTGTTTAACGGGCTAATTGTAGCTAACCCGAGCCCATTTACACGGGCTTGATAAATTGTACAAGCCCGCTCTATTAACAGGTCGGGCTTGCCCGCGGGCTCACGGGCCTAAAATATTTGTTTTACATATATTTAACACTATTTTTTTTTATCATTTACATATGTTAATATTATTTCGATTTAGTTATCTTAAAAATTTCTTGATCACTAATGATACTAGAAAAAAACATATTTAATTTGTGACATTTGTTAGTGAAAAAAAAGGAAAGAATGAACTTATTTAATACAAGTATAATGATTAAATATAAAATTGAAATAAATAGTTGTAGCTAATAATAGGTTAGAGTCCAATATAGTCTCTTTGTATTTATTTTCTAAAAATACTACATAATCAACTAACTAAAAAAATCATTAAACTATTACTTTTTTAAATAAACGGGCCGGGCGGGCTAGCCCACGGTACATATTGTCTTATCCATGTCCGCCCATTTATATTAACGGGTCGGGCCTAGCCCGCCCAAATTAACAATTTTTTTCAAAATGGTTGTCCAAGCCCGCTTATTTTGCGGGCCGGGTTGGGCGGGTTTAGCAGATTGACCGGTTCATGAACAGCTCTAATCCAAATTCCACATGTCTTCTTACATCATTAATTAAATTTTTATTACACTATATTAGTATAGTTCTTTAATTCTTTCATTAAACTTATATATATGCTTCATCTTCCATATACATTTTATCTTCATCTCCCCTCTTCAATTCAACCTTTTGCTTTTCTTTCTTTAATTTTAACCCCTCCACCCTTTTCTCTCTTTAATTTTAACCCCTCCTTTAATTAATCCCCATTTTCAATTACAATTCCAAAAATTAAATTTCTATAAAAATATTTTTTATCACGCATTATAACCATAGTGGTTTATTGATTTTCATAATTCATCTTTCAATGCAATTTTTTATAAATAACCCGTGCATTATACGGGTCAGAAGGCTAGTTGATATTAATTAACCCACAAAAATCCAAACCAATAAAATAGAAATGCATCTTGAACTTCTTAGGCTCCTAAGCAATTCATCTTCATCCCCCACTTTTTAATATAACCTTTAATCAATCTTAATTGTTCGTTTTAGCCTTCAAATTTAGTCCCTTAATCTTCTTTACCCTTCATTAGTAGCCTCATTTTGAATTCATTATTCCAAATAATAATTCTTTAATCATTTAGAATTTTATGAGAGGCAATATTATTCATTCTCACAAACTAACTATCAAACAATACTCAGATCAACCATGTGTTCATAATTCAAAATTTTAGAAATTATTCCTATAATAAACATATACATCGGACGGGTCAAAAGCCTAGTTATTTCTTGATCTTTTCTACCTAAGCATGATCCACGCACTTGGCGCAATTTTACGAGCCCCATAAGACAAAAACAAATGCAAAGAATTTTTTTTTTTATGCTAAAAATGTGAAAATCGTCCCTCAAATTTATCACCTCTCCGTTAAAATACGGTAATAAAGGAAACATATTAATGTATATCATAGACTATTAGGAGCCTTTTGGTTGGGGTTAATAATCAAAGAGAAAGAGAATAAACATGCCTCATTCCCTTTCTTGTTGTTTGTTTGTCACTTTTTTCATTCCCTTTACCCATTTTTATTTTTGAGTTTATTCAAAATCCTTCTACATTGATTCCCCACCCCCTAGACTTTTGCATTCCCTTTCCTAAACCACCACTACACCACCATATCTAGTTATCCACACCAGCCTAAACCTTACCCAGTTACCCCCACCGCCAAGCCACTTTGTTGGAATTTGCCGCACCTTCCCCATTCCTCGTCGAAACTCGCTGCACTTTCCCTACTCCTTGCCAAAGCTCCTCGCGCCTCCATCTCTCCTCACCGAAACTCACTTTTCATTATCAGAATATCAATCTCTCTCCTCTTTTTCACGGTGGCGCATTTTCGTTTAGGCCCATTTTCTCTCTCCTCCCCTTTGATTTGCACGGCGATATGCTTCGACTAGACCTAGAAAGCCGGAACTTCAGATCTATATGATAAGATTGAATTTCTCGAAACCCTACCGACTAGGGGAAGGGGAAAGGGAAGGGGAAGGGGCGGCCTACGATTTTAAGGGGAGGAGAATCGTTTTCTAAGGTCTTTGCGTGGGCAGGGAAGGTTTTACTAGGTGGCAAGGGGTGGGGGAGTTTCGAGTTTCAACGATGGGCAGCGAGCGTTTTTGAGGTCGTGGCAAGGCGATGGAGTAGCTGGAGAAGAAGGAAAGATGGGTTGTGTGGTGGTGGTGATTATCTTGGTTTTTGTGAACAAACAATATACTATATGGAAATAGTTTCATTCCTTTCTCATTCATTTCCTTTGTCCATTCTATTCCGATTACCTTGTGCAAACCAAACGACCGCTTTAGTCTATTATATTGGTGATAGAATCGGAGTATTTTTTTTTTCAAAAAAAGTAAGATTCAATTCATACGGATTACAAAGTAGAGATTATGAATGTCTTCGTACAAAATTGTGCTCTAGTTTATCAAAATACAGAGTGGTATAAAAATAAGACAACTTGCTATTCAAAAAATGGGCAAATATGAACATGTGGCAAATTTTAGGACATCATATATAAAAGGCTATGAATTTGAATAATGATAAACCTTGAAAAATTTATATCAAAGAAAATAAGTTATTAATTTTGTGAAATTTAGTACGAGTAATTTCTAATAACAAATACGAAATATAATAGTGAATTAGTAATAATTAGGAAAATTTGCAAATTGCAGCCATTTAATATTTTTTTTTGCAAATTGCAGCCCAAAAGTTCGTATAAATTGTAAATTGCAGCCCAATTCAACTTTTTCATCGGTTTACGTGTTAAAAATCTTCGTTTAAGGTTTTAGGGGTCATATTAGTCCTTAAGAAACCAAATTGAGCTCTAAATTAGCAAAAAAAATAACGTAAGTGTCTCATTTTTACAGTTTTCCACAAATCGATATATTTTTGTTACGCAAAACGAGGCACTTATGTTATTTTTTTGCTAATTTCGAGCTCAATTTGGAACCTTAAGGAATAAAATGGCTCCTAAAATCTTAACCGAAGATTTTTCGACATGTAAATCGATGTAAAAGTTGAATTGAGCTGCAATTTACAATTTATACGATCTTTTAGGCGGTAATTTGCAAAAAAAAACTTAAATGGCTGCAATTTGCAAATTTATTAATAATTATATATGTTTGGTAATATCAAGTGATTAAACACATGATCTAACACGGAGTAGAATATTATTTTTCTGATAATAAGTCATTATGTCCAATTTTAATTACAAAATTAATCAACTTTGTAGGTGAAATAATGTTCATTTCACCTTAATATATATGGATTGCTAGCCGTGCTAGGAGATAACTTAAATTGTATTGGAGAATTGTTGGTCAAATTTGATTTAATTAAAAGAATAAGGTTTTCCCTGGATTCTTTTTATTTGACTCAATTGCAATCCCAAGTGATTCTATTATCAATAATTTCTACTCCGTAATACTTTAACGACAACTTTTACTTTGTAAACACTCATATGAGATCTTTTACTTATATGCAATGTAGAAGCAATAAAGTTAGTGTGTAAATCAGATACGTCAATTAGAATAATCAAATACTCTGTACTACTTTAACCGATACAAATACAAAAATGCATGCATCTCCATAAAATTAAGGAAAAATTGCCCGGAATAATCCGACCTTTGCCTCATCCGCCCAAAATAATCCCACCTTTCGATTATTTTTTAATAATCCGACCTTTTATACCAATCCGCTTTAAATGGTCCCAATCGGTGATTTAACTTGTTATAGCAAGTTACATGACACGTGTCGACATTTGATTGGTTTAAAAAAATTAAAAGAAAAAATAAAAAATTTA